TGGGCCCGGGGGCGGCCGGAGGGGGTCCTGGGGCGGAGGCGCGGGCCCGGGGGCGGCCGGGTCTCCTGCGGCCCACAAGCCCTGTCTTCAGCGCAGCCCCTTTCGCGTGTCAGGTGGGGCACCCCGACCCCCCTGCAGCAGGAAAGGGACCCAGACGCGGCGGTGACTTGCGGAGACCTCGGTGCAGGCTCCCGAGGGCTGCCGTGCCGCTTAGGGCAGCGAAGGCTGAGACCCCCGAAGGTTTAGCGTGACCGGACCCAGCCTGGCCGGGCACACGGGCCTGCGCTCTGCTGCACTGAGTCTCTTCTCCAGAGTTAGGGCAGAGCCAGGCTAGGTGTCAGGTCCCCTGCGTCCCGGTCTTCGCCTTTCTCTCACCTTTGTGTGCTTATATGGAGAAGAAAAGCAGGTGATGTCGGGCATAAAGACATGATCAGGAACAGCAGAAATCTCAGGAGCGGCTGGTTAATTTGGGTGACGGGTATGGGGAGGTGGGAGGAGATGGGATCAGTTTAGAACGCATGGAACACAGGACTTGGGCAGTGCCGAAAGTCAGTCAGCAGATGATACAGTATGACCTTCACTCTAGAGGGAAAAGGGCGTCGTCCCCTAGGTCCCTCAACCAGTGGAGGCTGAGTTAGGACTGCCATTGGTAATGGGTGTGTGACCTGGGCTAGCCCCTGTTATTAACATAACAGTTACTCCATTTGTGAGGCTTGGGTTTGTGTTTAGTGACACGGCTATTTATGAACCACGACCCATGCTCCGGGCCTCTGTGTCATCTGTGAAGTGGAGATGGTGAGATTAGATTCTCTGTTAAGCATTCCAGTTTTCAGCATTCCTGAGCCTTTGAGAAGGATGGTAAATAGTTTGCAAAATAAGAACTGAGTTTTGAAGAGCAGAAAGGAGAAACCTCGGCAGGGGAGAAGGAGGTGGGGGAGGGACAGTTGGAGGGAAGACTGCGGGGGCAACAGTGCTGCAGGCCCTGATCGCCCTTCTGGGTCTGGCTTTGTGGCGGTCAGTCCCTGCTGTGTCAAGCCTGTGGAGGTGCAGTGGAGAGGCAGGGAGGCTTCTTGGAGAAAGGGGCTCTGGAGGGGCTGGGACACAGCTAGGCTTGGATGTGGTGAGAGCCTCCAAGAGGCTGGAGTGCAGGGCCTTGCCCGCTGCTGTCCTCCAGTGCCCACTGTGATGGGTGCCCCAAGCCTGTGTTGACTGGGTGGGGTTTCCCACAGGATGAGTCTGGTCTGACTGAATTGGATGTTGTGTTGGGGAACACTATGCACTCTAGTGCCCAAGAACCTGAGCGGCTCCCTTTGCCTTCGGGAGCTGGCCCTAAGCCCTCCCTCTGCCCTGCTGGGCGACTTCCCAGGCCTGCCATGTGCATCTGTCAGCCTGGGCGGCTTCCTCTGACCTCCTGTGCTGGCTTACCTGCCCTCATGCTGCACCTGCACAGTCCCCGCATCCTCACGTGCTCAGGGCATACCTGGCCTGTTTCAGTGTCAGGTCCCGGCCCTCCGGAATCTCCACTGTCTGCTAGTAACTGCTGCGGTGACCGCTCCCCTTGGACCGAGGCCTTGGGCTGGATACCTTTCCAGTCCCTTCTAGGCCTGAAGTTCTACAATCATATGTGTGAGTCTTCTGCTGAACAGAATGTGCAGTGCTTCCAGGGTGGGGTTATGTTTTAGGATATTTTGCATGTCTTCAGCACTTCCAGAGAGCCTAGTGTTTTGGTAGGCAGACCAGTTGGGTAACACGCTGACTCGATTTACCTTCTAGACAGTGGAAGTTGAGATGGTGGTGGGAGCTGTGTCCCAGATGTGGGGGCAGGTGTTCACCTGGGTCAGGTGAATACTGATCTTACAGGGAAGCTTTTCATAGCACACCTTGTAAACCAATGTTCTCAGCCATTTGTAACCATTACCTACCAGCCAGGAAGGTTTTGTTCTTCCCTATATAATTTGCTTTATGAGAACATTTTGTTTTCTAAATGTGAAATTATGTCATAGCATATAATATTATATAGTGATTGTATATTCGGTAAGAGAAAAAGAGTCCAATGAAGCTGTTTGCCTCATCCATTCTTTCCAACCCACCTTTTATGGACTTGGGGGGGTGATACCTATTTTGAGACTTGGTGCCATAGTAGGGTACAGGGGTGGGGATGGGGGTGGCCTCTGGCCTCTGAGAAGACACTAACTCACCTCTTCTCTTGTGAGACTGGATCAGGGGATTATTCCTTCATTCCATCCTAGCATCTTAAATTTTGTCTTTCTGTGAAATTACCCAGTTCCTGTTTCGTACTTGCATAGACGAACTGTGTAGTAAGAACGAGGGTCACTACCCCACCTCACGACATTGTGGGCATGTCCGGTGTGTCGCAAGACTCCTGAGCAGCTGTGGGAGCCGAGGGCTATCTTTGGAGCCTGGAGGGTCTGGGGAGCTGTGTGGGCTTCTCACAGGGTGCCGCTGTGGGCACCCACGTGCTCGTGGAGATCTGCTGGTGGCTTCTGTCCCTCTTTAGAGTTGCCATGTATTGTGGAGATACCAAGAGGAGCCATCTCAAACGGGTCCGCAGGTGCTACTTCAGTGCCCATGGAAGTGCCCTTGTTACCCTTGACCTGGGAGAAGCTGCTCTGGGAGCTCAGAGTCCTCATCAGTGGCTTCTTCCTTCTGGCACGAAAGATGTGAGACGTGTCCTCAGAGATCAGGCATGCGGTCAGGGGTAGTGGAGATCGCCTGACGTCTGCAGAGCTCCAGGACCTCAGACACCTCGTCCCTGTCTCTGCATGTTTCCATTTCCTTGTTCTCTGTCCTCTGGGAAGGGCACTACAGGCTCTTGCTTCTCCAGAGACTCAGAAAAGACCACCCAGGGGACTGGGCCGTGGCCTTTTTACCTCCACAGGACACCTAGAACTTTCCAGGGAAGCCCCATCCTGTGTAGTTCCAGGCAGACGAGGCCACACTCTTGTCCTGGGAGCTCAGGTGGAAAGAGCTCGGTCACAGTCACTTGGCTGGAAGGGACCATGCAGCACTGTCTCACTGCATGCAGGCAGGAGGGGCGTGGCATACCAGGTAGCCACGGCAGGTTGCTGCTGCAGCCCCACTGGTCAGGCAAGGGTGCCATGCAGTCTGATGTGGACACTTGGGTCCATACCTGGAGGCCAGGTGTGCTGGCCTCTTTGGTAGTCCTGTGGCTCTTGCTGGTGCCAGCCTGTACACCACCCTGGCCAGAGTGCAGAGCCTCGGCCTGGGAGACAGCGGCCTGGATGGACGCCAGTGACATTCAGCTCTGTATTATGGGCCTGGGTTTCCTGGGAGGACTCTGAGAGGGCAGCACCTGGGTTGTTGGGAAGAGCACTCCACAAGCATGTGGACGCTGCTCAGTGGGTCAGGAAGAGTGGGTGCTAAGGGTCAGGAGGGGCACTGGGTCCTCAGCTGGGGCAGTCGGCGGGGTGACGGTCAGCCTGCAGCCAAGCAGCCCCAGAGAGAGAGTTTGTGCTCACCCCTGGGGTCTTCAGGAGCCAGAAGTCTGAAAAGGCCAGCGCAGTTGTGTTCAGGTTCTGGCAGGTGTGTGTTTCAGAGGAACACCTTCTTCCCGGTGTATGCACGTTTGCCTGTCTCGTAGTTACTGATGGTTTACTTTACCACTTAATATTTGTCAGAGGCCTTTTTGCATTTGGTTTCCATTAACTAGTTCTTCTAACTTGATGCATTAATATTTATAGTTGACTCTTGAACTACACAGGTCCACTTACACACAGATTTTTTTTCTTTTTTTTAAAGATGACCGGTAAGGGGATCTTAACCCTTGACTTGGTGTTGTCAGCACCACACTCAGCCAGTGAGCGAACCGGCCATCCCTATATGGGATCCGAACCCATGGCCTTGGTGTTATCAGCACCACACTCTCCCGAGTGAGCCATGGGCTGGCCCAACACACAGATTTTTTTCAATGCGTACAATACCGTAAATGCATTTTCTGTTCTTTATAGTTTTCTTTAGTTTACTTTACTGTAAGAATATAGGGTATATAATACATATAACATTCAAAACACATGTTAATTAACTTTATGTTACCAGTAAGTCTTCCAGTCCACGGTAGACTGTCAGTAGTTGAGTTTTTGGGGAATCAAAAGTTATATACAGATTTTTGACTCCCTGGGGCCAGGGCGGGGGGTGTCGGCACTCCTAATGCCACAGTGTTCAAGGGTCAGCTGGTAACTTAAAAAAATGAAAAAAGGATCCAGAAAGTGGGTGTTTCGTGGTGTTTGCAGGTGACTCCCTGCCCTCCTCTGTGAGTGAGGTGGTGGCTGCTGGCGGGCACCTTCAGCCCTGAGCTCAGGTAGCAGCCGGTTGCGACTTGTTTTGTGAGGTGTATGGCATGGGATTCAAGCCCTCAGGGCTCCCGATTTTGCTGCTGTTGGGGCACTTCTGGCTTCACTCATCTTATTCTCCGAGGGTCCTGGGGAGACAGGTGGAGAAGGAATCAAAGGACCACATGGTCAAGGGCCAGTGAAGACCACAGGTTGCAGGTGACAGTGCCTGTACTTGAGCTGGGAGGAAGGACCACGGAACGGGTTTGTCCACCAGCCTGAGGTCTTCAAGTCTGCCCTCCAGTGGAGGGGCTAGCTAGTAGTCCAAGAACGTGAACGTGCAGGGGATTTTGAATCCTGTTGTCAGTGACCCTAACCCCGTCCTCTCCTCATCTCCCAGTCACCACTTTGTCTTAGGTCAGGTGTTGGGCTGGTCGTCCCATGGTCCTCTGTTCTCTTTGGCAGCTCCGCCTTTCCCCTGTGAAGCTGGCCGAGCTCCATGCTGATCTGAAGATACAGGAAAGGGACGAGCTCAACTGGAAGAAACTGAAGGCTGAAGGCTTAGACGAAGACGGGGTGAAGGAGGCAAGACTTGCACACAGTCTCAGCGGTACCTTTTGCTTTAATATGGACGGAAGGAGCCACCCAGCCTCAGTGGCACTGGCTTCTCCTGACTCGGTAGCTCTTGGCCACAATGAGGGAGGGGCTGTTGGGTGCAGCCTGCTCAGTGTCTTGCTCCGAGGACAGATGTGCCTCCGCTCCTGTGCTGTTTGTGGGGGTAGGGGGCAGTGTCAGGGAGGGGGCCTGGGCACGTGGACACACAGGCAGCCAAGGCCCGGGACCTGTGCAGCCCAGGAAGGGGCTGGGGCACGGCATCCAGAATAGGAAGCAGGTATGTGCCCAGCACATGGACAGTACGGGGGTGGATTTCGGATGTTAGGAAAACAACTTTCTGACAGACAGAGTGGACTGTGGGTTTCAAGAAGAGGTGGAACAGGCATGTTCCCCTGAGACCAGTGTTCAAAAGGCACCTGTGTTCTCAGGGCCAAGAGGCATTTGCAAGACAGGTTGTGATGGTTCCTTCTGGGCCCCACTTTTCTGCTGTCCTCATGTCACCATCACTTTGGCCGCAAGGCACTTGCAGGACGGGAGCAGGCCCGGGTGCACTGCGTGGCCGGCTGGGACCAGCGCTACTTCAGGAGGTCACGGACACTGTGTGCGGCTCTCCTGACATCCCATGCGGAAGTGCTGGGGGCGCAGTCGTCCCAGCCTGGCTATGTGCTGCCCGGGGCGTGACTGGGCACCAGTACCCCTGTCCCGTGATGTGGGCATGCGCGGGATCCATCTCCTCATCCTGTCTCAGGGGACAGTGGTCATAGACCACATGGGATGCTCCCCACAGGGGCGGCTGGAGTGTTGGGGGTGGTTGTGACTGCAGGTGGTGCCAGTGCCATCCAGAGCAGGGTCCCAAGCCCCAGCAGCGCCTGAGTCCACACCCTCACTCGCTTCCTTGCACTGAGTTGCCATTTAGAGGCCCTCACTTAGGCCTGATGCTGGGACACCTCCTCCTCAAGACTGAGGCACCGGCTGTTGGCTCCAGCCTCCAGGCCATGTTTCCTGCACGCCAAACCTGTGCACAGCGTCGTCCGCATCCATGCTGGGCCTGGCGCTTGGTGCCTGCTCCTGTGTCGTGAGCTGCCAGGGCGGCTCCTGTAAAGCGGGGCTGCGGCAGGGAGGGTTGCACGGGCAGATCTCATCTCTCAAGGAATTACTGAGACGTGACCTCTAGAGCCGTCCTGTGCTGCACAGGCAGTGCACCCTGGGGACAAGTTCTCCCGGCTGCACTAGTAACTTTTTATCAGAAGCTGCCAACTCATGTTTCTCCCTTAGAGGATGTTTTTCTTAAAATAAAAATATGTTTTGGGCCTTCAGAGGCTTCCCCCAGCCACGACCTGTACTCTCAGAGAACTGCCATCTGTTCTGTGCTCACTGGAGTTGCCCTGCATCAGGAGCTGGGGTTACAAAATTTGTTCTTGAAAACCTTGCACCTGTTCTGTGAAGGTGATCCCATTGGTCAGTGACTTATCAGTGACTTATGTTAGCTGCATCTGGCCTCAGGCCACTTGTGCCTTAAGAGGCGCCGTGTGATGCAGGATGTGTCTGCGGTGGGAGAGTGGGAAGCGGCTGGGTCCCGGGGTGTCCTGGGAGGTGCTGGGGACCTGCCTCCCCAAGCTTGTTCGTAGTTCCCACCAGACCTTGAGTGCTTACCCAGAAGACGGGAGAAAGGAGTCTCCCGGACGGTGGGAAGCAGCCCTGTCCCACTCGAGTAGCCTGACTTTCTTTCAAAGGAAACCGTACTAGATCCTATTAAATACCCACCTTCTCTCCTAGTCATCCTGGCCAAGTACGGTCTGGATGGGAAGAAGGACGCTCAGCTGCTGAGTGGCAACTCCCTCGGGGACAGCGCCCAAGATGACAGGCTGGAGGACCCCAGGCTGGAGAAATTGTGGCACAAGGTAGCCTCATTTTTTCCATCAATCCTGACGTTTGTCCTGCTGCGTCGAGAGTCACTGCATGGGGCCTGTTAGGGACCTGCTGTTTCTGTCACTTTACAAAGCCATCAGCCTCTGCGCTGCATGGGAGCTTGTTAATTTGGGGGAAGTCTCATGAAAATGATGGTTTCTTACTGAAACCGTTAGCACTTTATCTACGATCCTTTTCTTTTTTCCGTGAGTGTGCTCAGCTTTCCTGTTTAGAATATTCCTTGCTCTCTCAAGAAAGGAGTTCTGCTTGGCTCTGGCTATTAGATCTTCAGGTATGCAGAATGTGCCTAGTAGTATGCGGTAAATTGCACAGGATCACACTGTAGCGTGGGCTCAATTTTCACTTTGTATCTAATACTTAGCTGTGAGGGTTCGGCCCTGTGGACTTGCTTCTGTGACTAGGAGAGATGCTGGGGGCAGGCTCTCAGCATGTTGTCTAGGAAGGGCGGCAGTGCTGGGCTTGCCCCAGCTTTGTTGTGAGGTGCAAACCTCAGAGTGTGGGGTCTGGTGTGGCTGGGTCAGCTCACAGCGGGTGTTCACTTGCTTCAGCTCCTGGTCCAGAACAGTGTGTCTAGATCACGATTTGGGGTCAAGAATTGGAATTCTTGTGGTAGTGCATTGTCCCTGGTCAGGAGGGATGGGACAGGCAGAGGGGTGAAGAGAGAGGGAGGACTGCTGGAGTGGTCTCCTGTGCAGCTGCTCCAGACCCAGCCCAGGACCTGTGTTATCCACCTGTTACCTGGGAGGCAGGTGGGATGACAGGTGACTAGCCCAAGGTACCTCCTAGGAAGACAGCCTTGTGTCCTTGCCAGTCACAGCCAGGAGAGTTGGGCAGATGTGGGGGCCACTGGGGCACTGCCCCATCCTCCTCGGGGTCCTTCCACCCCCAACGTCTAGCCGTATTTGTAGTCGTCTCCCGCCAGGCCCGGGCACATCCAGGAGCAGGGATGGTGCCTGTCAGCAGCTCTCCGCCATGGTTCAGCTTCTGTTCTCTTACTCTGCATGACCCTAGTAGAGGGTCATAGGGTCGTAAAGGCCAAGAGCTAGGCCTGAGCACCTTACACGTGAGCAAACACCTGCCTGACCTCTGAGGGAACAGTCAGCTGATGGGCACCCCAGGGCCTTGGGCACGGACAGGGCTTCACAGCCCCAGGGGAGCCACGAGGGCGTGGACTGTTGACACGGTTGCAAGGGGTGTTCATTTGCAGTCCTCCTGTCTCTCTCTTAGGCAAAGACCTCTGGGAAGTTCTCGAGCGAAGAACTGGACAAGCTCTGGCGGGAATTTTTGCACCACAAAGAGAAAGTTCATGAGTACAATGTCTTGCTGGACACTCTGAGCAGAACCGAAGGTGCTTCCCTGCCTCTGGGTCAAGCGTGCGCCCAGGGTCTCCCTTCTCCATGGGCTACCCTGGTTCCAGAATGCTCTGGCCAGTGACAGCTGGGGCGGGGGAGGGAAGTATGCAAAGCCCTTTTCTCAGGTTTCCACCCAATTTTGTGGTGGGAATTTCACTGTTCAGAGAGGGGTGTTTCTAGTAATTGCACAGATGTGTTTGGTCAGAGGAACTGTTCTTTAGTCATCGCCAGCTGCCGTGACCTTCTCTGCTGGTTCAGTCGTTTTGGACTCGGGACCCTCCCCAAATATTTTCCTACCCTGAGAAAAAGCAAACTGGAGGCTGGAGACTGAACCGAATTGGGGGACAGAGAACAGGGCCTTTGGGGACTGCCTGGAACCCAGCTGACTTCCAGGGTGCCAGATGCACTGCCGTTCACCTCCGCAGAGTGGCCTTGGATACGCGTGTCCTAGGGTCTCGTGTTTGGAGGGAAGTGACAATATCTGCTGTCTATAAGCTGAAGGCGGGACGGGCTTGGGGCTGCCTCGGCTACTGCGGGTCCCCAGCACCAGACCCTCACGGGAGGTCATCATCAGGCATTCTGCTTCCATTTCCACAGAAATTCATGAAAACGTCATCAGTCCCTCTGACCTGAGCCAAGTTAAGGGCGAGGTCCTGCACAGCAAACACGCTGAGCTGAAGGACAAGCTGCGGAGTATCAACCAGGGCCTGGACCGCCTGCGGAAAGTCAGCCACCAGGGTTACGGCCCGGAGACGGGTGAGCCCCATGCCCGCACCCACCCCTGTCCTGCTCTGCCCTGGGCTGCCGACTCCTGAGGGTGGGGCTGTCTCTGGTTGCGTGTTTGGTGTCGTGGCGGGTGCATGGCCCCGTCAAGGGTGGAGACTCTTGTCACACGCACTCCTTGCTGGGGTTAGAGAAGGGCTGACCGGGACCTGCCTCTAGGAACTGCCCCATGAGCATTTCTCTTCGCCTGCCCTCGGCAGCCCTGTTACCTGACGCTGGCTTGGGGGAGGTGACAGCAGTGGTCCGGGCTGGCAGGCCCCTTACAGCCCACCTCCCGCTCAAGCATGCATGGGGCCCTTCTCTCTTTGGTGGCCAGGGGCAGCTTCATTTTCAGTCTCAAGTGCCCCTGGCCGGCCCCCCGGCCCGTACAGCAGTCAGGATGCCCACACTGCAGGAGCAGGCGGCCCATCTTAGCAGCTTACACCGAAGTTTCTTCCTCATTCACGCCATACATCCACACTGGGCTGGACTGCCTTGGCTCTGTTTCTTTTCCCTCCAGGACCTAGACCCATGAGCCTGATGCAGGGCTTACGAGACGTGCATCAGGCTGTCCTTCTACCCAGCTCTGATGACCCATTCATTCATTTATCCTCCGAATGTCGATCAGACTCTGACTTTGTGCCACATCCTTTTGTACACTCGGGGATGCAGCAGCCAACAGGACAAAATTCCTGCCCTCGTGTTGTGTAGACACGACAGCTGGCTTCTGTCCCCTAGCCCCAGGCAGAACCATCTCATCCTCTCTGGGACTGTGCCCAGGAGGCCTTGCAAGAGGCAACGCTCTGACATGGCTGTCAGGTGTGCCACTCTTCAGCTCTGCCTCTACCACGCGTGTACCCTGGGGCGAGACCATTGCCCTGTCTCTGCCTGGGCTCACTCAGCCTGCGTGGTGGTGACTGTTAGGCCACATCGTAGGCCCATTGTGAGGACTTGCCGAGTTACTGTGCTAATCAAAGGCAAGCCTGGCTGTGGTCAGTGCAGGAAATGGTAACTCTGACTGCTGCCCCCTCTGTAGACCTCTCTCCCTCCTTTGGACCATCTCCTGCCAGTCTGCCTAGTCCTTCCAGCAACCCCTCAAAAGCCTGGGGTCCCAGGCAGGTAGGGTCAGTGGAGAAGAGGGAGCAGGAGCCACTGTGTGGGGCTCACAGGCCGGGCAGCTGCGGGCCGCTTGCCCTGGTTTCCTCCCGGCGGGGCAGGAGATGGGGGACCCAGCTGGGTGTCGTTCACCACGTCCACAGTGAGCGCCAGTGGGGTCAAGGAGCTGTCGCTGCTTGCTTTGCCTTGCTCAGGAGCTAGAAGAAAGAAAGGTAGCTGGCTTGAGCTTCACTCTGGACCTGTAGGTAAACGGACAGCCCCTAACCAAGTGCCTGAGTAACTGCACCCCCAGCTCCCCACTCCTGCGGGTCCCCTCCTCTTGCCTGCATTAGAGGCACCCAGGAGCATGCCTGTCACACAGCTTCAGGCCACAGGTGCGGCCAACTGTTTTTGGACACAGAGAAGTGGTCACTTTGATGGAGCAGGCAGTGACAGCTTCACCGAGGCCATGTTTCATCCTGGCCCTGCAAGCTGCCTGCTGTAACCGCACGGGCACACGCACCCTCACGCTCCCACACATGTGCTCGTGCTGACATGTTCATGCGAGCTGGGCAGGCCGTGCAGCCCAGTGGCGTCAGCGTGCATGCCACCATGTGGGCAGCTGAGCCCACTTCTGCTCTTCTACAGAGTTCGAAGAACCCAGAGTGATCGATCTGTGGGACCTGGCCAAGTCGGCCAACTTCACTGAGAAGGAGCTGGAGTCGTTTCGGGTAAGGACGAGGCGGTGTCCTCCCTTCCAACGCTGACGACGGGGCAGAGGTGCTCTTGCTACTTCTCCTTTCATCACACACTGGACAGGCTGTTAGTTTTGTGCACACCCTTCTCCGTCTTGCCCTCTGCATCCCCTGCCCATCTCCGGGCCCCTCTGGCGTACTGGCTATCAGCCGTGTGGCCCTCATCCGCAGGCGCCTCCTAAGTGGGGCTGTGGCCTTGGCATGTGCTCGACAGTGTCGTCGGGTGAGTGGCGCCTGGCATCGTGGGTTCTGCTCAGCCTTGAGTGCTGCATGAGAGGAGGGGGCTGTGGGAAGCCAGTGGGTTAAGGAGGAGAGACACTAGGCACCATGGTGGGGCTGTGGTCCTGGAGGGAAGGGGCTTTGGGTTCTTCGATTGTTCATAAGTCTTGAGTGTCACCTCACTGTGGGTTCTGCCCTGACAGCTGTGCATGGGCAGTGCATCACGTGAAGTGTCAAGGATCAGGAAGTTCACAGCCCCACGGGCATGGGGGCACTAAGGGTGACTGGGGTGGTTTGGAAGTGTTGCCACATCTGAGACAGGAGCCCAGGGAGGGGAGAAGTTTGCTTTGGGGAAGGGGCTGGGCCCTGGGGTGTCTGGGCCTGTGGAATTCCTGATGATTCTAATGCATAGCTGGAGGTACCTGGGATGGGTGGGGCCAGAGGATGCTGCCGAGCTCTCGTGTGGGAAGAGACTGGTGGGGGGACAGTAGCAGTGGGAGCAGGGAGACCTGTGAGAGACGTGAGGCTTGTGGGAGAGGTCCCTGTGCAGGGCATCTGTCCTGAGCGGGGCAGACGTGGTCCCACCCTCCTGGAGCCTAGCGCTTTCATAGCCCTGGGAAGGGTCCTTAGCACACACAGAGAGAAGGGTCAGGGCTTCCCTCTGGGGCTGGGGACCCCCAGCTGAGAGCAGCACATTCGTAGGGATGGGAAGGGGACCCAGGGGCTGGACGGAGCTGGGAGCCAGTCTGCCGCCGGGGCTGAGCCTGTGTCACCAGCAAGACCTGTCCCTGCACCAGAGAAGAGGGCCTCCCTGGGCATCCTCATGGAGTAAAGCTGAAGTTCTATCAGGGGCCCTCAAATGGCATTAACAGCATGTTGGAAGGAAATTAAGTGGTTTAAACATTGTTCTAGGAGGAACTTAAGCACTTTGAAGCCAAAATCGAAAAGCACAACCACTATCAGAAGCAGCTGGAGATTTCGCATCAGAAGCTGAGGCACGTGGAGAGCGTGGGCGACCGCGAGCACGTCAGCCGGAGCAAGGAGAAGTACGCCGTGCTGGAGGAGAAGACCAAGGAGCTGGGCTACAAGGTGGGGGCCGCACCCCAGCCTCCTGGTTCTGCCCGCTCAGGCTGTGCTGGGTTCTGGGCTGTGGGGAAACCACAGGCTCATCCCACAAGGAAGCTGTTGCCATGGGTGCAGCTTAGGGCTCCGTCTGACCTGGCTCCGCACGTGGCACTGGCAGCTCCAGTCCTTGAAGCTCCCTGTCACAGTTGAGCCCGATGACCACACATGCAGGACAGCTAAGACTGAGCGGCCTGCACCAGGGGAGCCCCTCGGGCATGCAGTCTGGTCTCCTGAGCCCAGCTCCCAACCTCTGCCATGGCCAAGGTGGGGCTTGGCCTAGGTGTCCCAAAGGCGCGCTGGGTGCATCACTTGAAGTGAACCCACAAATTGGTACCTCCAGCCCTTGAAAGGCACAGGAGCCCTTTCCATGGAACGGCCTTCTGGGGAGGGGAGGTGAGGACAGGCAGGAGCAGCGCAGGCCAGTCATGCCAGTGCACAGAAAATTCCGGAAACAGGAGAAATGGCTGGAAATGGTTGTTTCTGGAGGGGGCTGGGGGCCAGGTGGGAGGGAGCCTCTCCTGTGCCTTTGGAATTTGGAACTACAGGGGTGCATTACCTAATCAAAAATAGATGAAACCTAGAAGGTAAAATACAGCAGACGGACGTGGGGGAGGGCGGTGTGGATCTGCGCCTGTGTTTAGCAGGGCGGAGCGCGACCAGCAGCCTGAAATCAGTGCCGTGACGTGGGGCTTGACACCGAAGTCCTTGTGACAGGCAGAGGTGGGATGTAAGTGTGGTCCTGCCCTCACCTGACCCTGGGAGCAGGGTGCGATGTTCCTAAGAAGTCTGCGTAGCATTGGGTCTGAGGCCCTGGGACAGTTGGGGACAGAAGTCAGAGGACGCCAGGGTTCTGAGCCTGGTGGCCTAGATGAGGGACCTTCAGCAGGTGCCTGACCCTTCACCCCAGGCTTCTGTGTGTAAAAGGGAGGCAGTGCCAGCCGGGCAGGGTTTTGTGAGGATTTGGGGAATGGCTGCAGAGCAAGCCTGGCCCAGGCCTGGCCAGCACAGCAGAGCCCACCGGTTCTTGGTGTTAGTGCTGCTCCCACCTCCCCTGCAGGCTCCCCGTCTGGCCCGTGAGGAGACAGGCGCCTTCCCCAGCTGCTGCATGTCAGAGTTTTTCAGTCACTGCTTTTAAAAATAATGACATGGGCAGATAACACAGAGAAAACATCCATTTTCCCTTCCAGCGTGGTCAGCTTCTAGCTGTTTTTAATACACTTTGGCGGGTGTTTTCTGGTTAGTACAGAGCTGCTCCTGTGGTTTATTCCTGATGTCGTCTGGGTGACGTGTAATTGTAGAGTAAGATAACCAGAGCGCTCAGAAGTTCTCGTGTTTAGAGTGCGCATCTCCTGATCCGGAGCAGCAATTTAATCAAAGCGGTTGATGCAGCGTTGCCCTCGGCTGACAGGCTGTTCTCCATCCACAGGTAAAGAAGCATCTGCAGGACCTGTCCAGTAGGGTGTCGCGAGCTCGGCACAATGAGCTGTGAAGGCATTGGCCCGGCAGAGGAGGGTTGCCTGGGCCTGTTGATTCTCCTGCAGGCCAAGGGTTGGGCAGCAGCATTTACGTGGACAGACGCGTGATGAAAATGGCTGGGGCTGGTCACGTGTTGGTCAGGAAGGACGGTTTAAATGACTGTCTCGATGCTGCCATGACCCACGGAGGACTCAGTGGTGGTTACGTCTTGGATCTGTGATTGTCCCGTCTCTGGTTGACGGGGCTTCTTTTCTCACACAAACGTGGCAGTGACCACCCCATTGAGGACCTTGATATCCAGCTGTCGGTCAGGCCTGACAGCCCCATGTTATGACAACATGGTTTGCATCAAAATCTTGTACATCTGTCCCTGGAAATACTGTGTACAAAGTCCATAAAAATACATGCAGTATTGAAACCATCGGTTGCTGACTGGTGCCTCGGTTGTTCTGGCGGCTCTGGCTGGAGCCAGCACACGGGTGAGGTGAGGTGAGGTGAGGTGCTCCACGTTAGTTCGTCTGCTGGCCTGAGCCCCTCCCTGGCGGCTCCTCATCCTCTCCTCTCCTCTGTCCCCCCCAACCCCCATGGCTTGCAGTGACTCTCCCTTTACAGTGGAGCAGCCTGGCCTGGCTTAAAACTAAGATCTGTTTAGAGTGGAGGGTACAGCTGGGGTAGAGACAGGAGAGGGGTGAGAGTATGTCCTGGTGGGGGGCCCGGGGCTGTGGCCTGGGGGTGGTGCCCTTTTCCTCCCACCTCTGCAGCTCGGGGTGCTCAGAAAGACCCTAATGGGCTTGCAGGGTGCCCGTGTCCAGTGTGAGTGCCCAGTCTCTCACCAAGAGGCCTTTCTCTGACTCTACAGCTGGCTTGAGGATCCCAAGTTTGAGCCTGGAAGAGGCTTGACCAGGTGTGTTCTGGTAGTCCCTGGGTCTCAGCCTGAATATTGAGATCTGCCAACCACAGTTTTCCAGTTAGCCGTTGTTTATGAGAAAGTTCAAGGCTGAAGGCACCATGCTGGGGGTTTGCATGGGGGGTTGGAGGTAGCCACGCACAGTGTGGGTAGCCTGTTCCTGGACGGGCCATTGGGTAAGGAGTGGCCTCACCCCTGTGGCTCCAACGTCACCCCCTCTGTCTCACCCCTTGGTACATGGTTGCCTCCACATGGTGTCTGCCACTGACCAGGCTGGTTGGGGTGTGTCCCTCCCAGGCAGGGCTGGGGTGACTGTCCAGGGGTGCGGGGTCTGAGACCCAGAGCAGTGCTTGTCTACCAGGGTCCCTACACTGCTCTTGTCAGGGCTCTGAGCTTCAAGCCACAGCCTGGGTACTCACCAAGTGCCCTGTGTGCAGAGCACAGTCCTGTCCAGTGGCGTACAAGGCCTAGGCTGAGGCTGGATGCAGAGGACACTTGGCTCAGTGTCCATCTGAGGATCTGACACAGAGGGAACCCGTGGCCTTCAGATGTGGGCGAGAGAACAGATGCCCTTCTCTGAGGTTTGCTCATGGCCCTGCCCTGCAGGACAGCGGCAGGTGGCAGCAACCTGAGCCCAGGGCCTGTGGCTGCATTCGTTTTTTTAGCTTCTAAATTGTTACATTGAAGTAAAACAGGCATTTTGTAAAAGTACACAAAATGTGCACACAGCTCAGCGAGTTGTCCCAAAGTGGATAGTGTGGAACCACCGCCTAGTCCAGAAGTAGACAGCGCCAGCCCCCCAGCCCGGCCCCCGGCCCCTTACCCACAGCTCCCCACCCTCCTGCCTGTAACAGCAGGCCGGGTTCGCTGTCTGAACTTCATGGAGAGGAGATAATACAGCGTGTGTCCCTGTGTGTAGGGGCTTCTCGTATTCAGTGCTCATGAGACTCAGCAGTGTTGTCTGCAGCACACACGCTCTTGCCACTGCTCTGTGGTGTCCCATGTGTGCATACAGCGTGCTTTGTTTCTGAGTTCGTTTTACTTTGATGGATATTTGAGTTGTTTCCACAGTGGAGTAAGGACACCTGTTGGAAATAGCTGTGGTGAGCACTCGTGAGTGCATGTGTGTGTACTGGAAGATCCTGTGGTGTGCGTTCAAATATAGTGGATGATTCCAGACGGTTTTCCAGAGTGGCTGTCCTAGTTTCTGCTTCTGCCCACAGGGGGCGCGAGAACGCTAGCTGATGGCAAACTTGGTGCTCCATCATTTAGGTACGGACGTTCTGCCTGGTGTTTGGTGGTATCTGATTGTGCACTAGAGTTTGTTGTGTAGTAGGTCATTTGGTGTGGGAGAGGGAACGAGGTGTGGAGGGGAACACGTGCACACACAGCCCCCGGGGCAAGTGTGGAGCTCAGCGGGTGTGGACGGTGGTGCATACGATGGGCCATTCCTTCCTTCGCCCAGCGGCCCCTCTTTCTCGCTTCTGCCATCCTGGGTTACTTTCGCCCGTTCTTGGATTTCACGTAGAAGGAATTAGGCACTATGGATTTGCATGCGTGTCTAGTTTCTGTCACTTGGCATCTGGGTTTCATCCAGGCTATGGCATGTGTCAGCGGTTGGTTCCTTATTGCTGAAGGGTGACCACCCTGTGAACGTACCACAATCTGTGTATCCAGCCACCTCCGGATGAGCGTTTGGGTTTCCAGTGTTGGTTGCAGTCGAGGTTCATTGTTCCTTTGTATTCCCACGCTGTTTGTTACATAGACTCCCCCGCCCCCAACAAATTGACTCGGTGCCTTTGTCAAAAGTGAAATGACTGTACAGGTGCGGGTCTGTTTCTTTTTGTTCTTATGCTGTTGCTGCACAGACTTGACTATGATGGCTTTACAATAAATCTTGAAATCAGGTAGTGAGCATTTCCCAATTCTTCTTTTTAAAGATTCTTTTGGCTGTTTAGGTCCTTTGCATTTCCATACTCACAGAATCAGCTTCTCAATTTCTACCAAAAAGGAAAAAAAGCCTGCTAGAATTTTGATAGCAATTACCTTGAATACATTTTTAATACATTTTTTAATACCTTGGATACACTTTAGATACATTTTTTAATACCTTGAATACACTTTGAGGCAAATTCGCATTCTAAAAATACTGAGTCTTCCAAGCTTTGAAGGCTGCGCACAGCTCCAGCTGTGTAATGTTGCGTCTTTGATTTCTCAGCAGTGGGCTGGAGTTTCTGTGCACGAGTCTTGCGTGTTTCTCAGATTTATTCTTGGTTATTAGATGTGTTGTGCCATTGCGAATAGTGCGTTTTCATTTCATCTTTTCAATTGTTTGTGTATGGTGGTCTTACATCCTGTACCTTCAATTCACGTGTTAGCTCTAGCGACCTTCTTATAGACTCGTGGGGTCTTCCGCATGCTTCCTCCGTCGTCGGTAAGCGTCAGTGGTTCCGCTTTTCCTTTCCGATCTCTGAGCCTCGCATCTCTCACCGCAGTCGTGAGGGGGGACTGCGCTGAACAGCCGTGGTGAGAGTCGCACACCCTTGCGTCACTCCCAGGCCTAGGGAAATGCATTGCTCGTTCACGTTAAGTAAGCATAACGTTAGCCATAGGGTTTTACTGATGCATTTGTCAGACTGAAGAGATTCCCTTCTGTCCTAGGGTTCTGAGAGTTTTTTCACAAATGGCTGTTGAATGTTTTCAAGTACTTTTTGTGCATCTATTGAGATGATCATAAAAATTTGCTTCTTTATTCAATTACTGTGGAGAGTTAAACTGACTTTTATGTGCCAAGTCACCTTCCATTCCTGGGTAAAAATCCTATTTGGCCGTGGCATTTTGTCCTTTTTTCGTACAGCTGGGTTCAGTTTGCTGGCACTTGCTTACACGCTTCTGCATGCATGCTCCTAAGAGATGCTGGTCTGTGATTTTCGTCATCTTGTTGTAGGAGGTCTCTGTCGTGTTTGGGTATTGGCATTAAATTGGCCTCCTAAAACAAGTTCTGCCATAGCTTGTATAGTACTGGCATTATTTCTTACATAAATACAGAACTTAGGGGTGAAGCCATCCAGACCTGGCATTTTCTTTGTGCTATGATTTTTTATTAAGAGCTCAATTTTTAGATATAGATATGAGGTTGTTTAGATTTTCTATTTTTTTCTATGTCTTTTTTTTTTTTTCTTTTGGTGGCTGGCCAGTACAGGGATTCAAACCCTTGAACTTGGTGTTATCAACACCACACTCTAACCAACTGAGCTGACTGGCCCAGCCCTTCTGTGTCTTTTATTTATTTATTTGTTTGTTTTTCTTTATTTTTTTTATTTGTTTGTTTTTGGTGTTTTATGTGTTATTTTTGTAAAGATATATTTGCCAAAGAATTTCTTCATAGTTACCAAAATAATTTGCATAAAGTTATTGCTAATGTTCCCCTTTTCTTAATGTCTGTAGTCTGTACAGTGAAATTTCTCTTTTTTATTCCTGATGCTGGTAATTTATGGTTTTCCTTTTTTCCCCTGCATCATTCTAGCTAAAGTTTTATCAATTTTATAGATTTTTTGTTCTGCAAAAACCAGCATTGGGGTTCATCGATTTTTCTCAAATGTTTGTTTTCTTTTTCACTGACTTCTGCTCTTTTTATTCTTTAAAATTTTTTCTTTTACTTCATTTGTGCTTAATTTGCTCTCCTCGTCCTAGGTTCTTGGGGAAGAAGCTTAGATCATTGATTAAGAATATGAAAGAATGGAAGAACGTGGTTCACAAGCTTGATCTGAGAAAACACCTTCTCAAGCACACATGGAGCATTGGAAAAGTTGACTGTGTACCAAGCAAATGTCAGTAATTTTCAAAAGATAGTATATAGATAGATCTGTAACAGATAAATATATAAACAATACAGATCACACTCTTTGGCCACAGTGCAATTAAGGAGGAAATCGGTAACAACAACAAAATAAACAATTAAAATAAGTACATTCGGAAACCTAAAAATACACATGGGTCAAAATCCTATCCAGAATTAGAAAATATTTTGAGCAAAATGGTATTGAAAATACCACCCACCAAAACTTGGGGGAAATGTAGTAAGTGGGATACTTTGAGAGAAATTTATAACCTTAGATATTTGTTTTAAGAAAGAGCGAAAGGATTTGCAATTTCAGTAATAAATACTGAAAATAAATATGCCACAGAAAATATTAAACATCTCCCTAAAGGCAGTGGAAGCCTGACGGCCCGTGAAGGTACAAAGACAAAGGGACCACAGAGCCCAGAAGGTCATCGTGATGCAGGGCACCAAGGGCTTTGCCAGTCCGGGCTTACATGGGCTAACATCCAGACGGCCCTGTCAGCGCTGGGGACAGATGTCAGGCTCCAAGCTGGCCTCAGGTGGGGAGTCTAAAGGGAACACTTCTGCATAGGAAGCTGGAACCCCAAGAGTTGCGTTCTTAGGGCGAGTCGGTACCAGACCCCTCACGCTCCCCCCGAGCACTGAATGGGGCAGGGGAGTGGGGGAAAGTCC